TACATGTGTGAGTAACTTTGGATTCGATTATATCGAAACATTTTCATTATTTATGAAATGCCGATTTATATGATTGATTCAAACTGTATTTAAGTTAAAATATAAATCACCGTGGGTAAGCATCCGCGCGGTATAATCAGACCACAATGGTCAACGTACACGGCCAAAATAGCTCGGCTGAGGTAAGTTTTTAGCGATTATTTTTTCTATCGAGTCGATTTAAATTTTGCCTCATAGCCTACCGACCACGGCATTTCCGATGCTTTCTAAAAATGCATTTTGTGTCGACTAACGTTTTGTATTTTCTGAGAACATTCAAACAATATTTACAAATTTGTCAATGACAACGTTCACACTATTGTGTAAAAGTGTTGCTAATAACTTTATTTATCACATAAACTGGGGCGCAGGAGTGTAATAAATAGAGGATATTTGTTTAGTTCAGTGTAAGATCGGAATATATTTCACCGAGTGAGCACCAAAAGGTATATTTCACGAGTGGCGCAGCCACGAGTGAAATATGAACTTTTGATGTTCACAAGGTGAAATATATTTCGATCTTACACTAAACTTAACAAATTTTCTTTTTATTTTATGCAAAGAAACGTTTTAAAAAGACATTAAACCTAATACTGAATGAAAAGCGCGCCATTTAATAATACAACGTGACGTCATTTACGACGTCACGTCATTAAGTTGGTACCCAGTTCTGTGCACGCTGGTATTTCACTGAAACAACGTAAGGGGCTTAAATTCAAAACAGTGAAATTATCAAAGTGGTAATTTCACTGTTTCAAACAGTGAAATTACCAGTTTTATATCACTGATATATTTCTATAAACCATCAAAAAGCATGTAATAAAGCCATTTAATAAAAACGATATTACACTAGTGTGATAACACTTTGACGTGACGTAATTTGCGCTATATAGAAACATAGCGTTAAAGCGCGCTAATGTTAGCGTTACACTATAGGCGCGTCATTGAAAAATTACTCATTTTTACAGTTTACTGTTCTTACTTTATATATGTGATAAATAGAATATTATATTCGTGTAGATTCAATACTAAATTTATTGAACTCGTTGAATAAAACAATATTATGCTCGCCAGAGGCTCGCATAATATGTTTTTATTCAACTCGTTCAATAAATTTAGTATTAAACTACACTCATTCAATATCCTCTATATCTTTAGCATATCCGCGGGGGTGGAACCCCTTATGTATCTCAAAAATGAGCATCGGTAAAAATTATATGTGAATTTCCGCTGCACCAGATGTGAAGCATAGCACCAGATGTGACTTTAAAAATAGAACAATCGCAGGGTAAGTTTTCATATTTTTATACATTTATATAAAATTCACATCTGGTGCAGCGGAAATTCACATATAATTTTTACCGATGCTCATTTTTGAGATACATATGGGGTTCCATCCCCGTGATGTCAGTGCTAAGTAAAATTTTACGTTTTGAAATGTATAAGAGAATGTTGTCATTTTCTGTATTTACAATGTACATTGTATTTAAAAAGTGTCCAACTTACAGAAATGTCAACGTACATTAATAGTGGTCGGAACATAAGTGCAACTTCAGAGTAATTGGCTTTTTTCCAACAAAAAAGTTGGCTTTCTATTAAATTGCCCTTACAAACTGTATATCAGTACTGATTTATACAAATGAAACAGTTTTGAGTACATTCATTTTTAAAAACGCAAATAAGCTTAAACAACCCCGACATATTATGTCCTTTGCAAGTAGTGAGTAGGTCACGATGGATCCATTTTACAAGATAGGGTGTTTACGTTTACGTTAAGTTCATTAGTTTTTTAGCTCGACTTTGTCGTTGCCGTTGCTGTTCGCAAACCACTAACACTAGATCTTAAATGTTTACGTTTTTTGTGTATTGTCTTCATACTTGGCCACATCAACTCTGGGACAATACCTTCAAGTACACCATGTATATCATGTAGATCTCTTACCTAAACTGAATAAAAACAAACAAAAAGATGTAGGACATCTAAATATTAAAGCAAACAGTATGCTTTAAATAACACAAATTGAGGTACAATTATTTTTCAACATATACATTTGTGACGTCATGACTTGATGACGTCACGATGGAGAGGGTTATGAATAGTTAAAAATAATGTGAACTATACTGTAGACTAGTATTATTGAAAACTTATAATTTGTACAATTGGTGAGTTCGATTTCATTGCCAGCATGTACTAGTGGTACATTTTTATTTATTTATAACATAGTAGACCTTCTTTCTGAATCTTTTAGATATATATAATTATCTTCAATCAAGATATAAATTATATCAGTTTGAATCATTTTGTGTGTTCTTATTGAAATTTGATTGTGTTCAATAGATATTTCAAGCTCTTGATTACTTGATTTTAAAACCGGAATCAAATATAGAGCATGCAAATGAACGTTGCTAGGGATGTTTTTGTCGTAAGATTTATCGTAAGTGAATTTTTTATCTTAAGATAAAATTTTAACTTACGAGTGGCTTTGTGAAAATGACTTAAGATTTAACTTACGATTATCGTAAGTGAAAAACTTAAGATAAATCGTAAGATTTTTTGTGAAAATGTCTGCAGACTCGCCGTATGTAAGGTCAGTTTTATAGTAGTGTCCTTATGTGACACTCAGTGTTTGATTAGTGGGTAGTGTCGTGCGTGTCAGTCAGTAGTTTCCTGTGTATGTAGTGTCCTGTGTGTCCGTAGTGACGTGCGAATGAGTACTGTCATGCGTGTCCGTAGTGACGTGCGTGTGAGTAGTTGTTTGTGTGTAGTGCCCTCTGTGTCCGTAGTGACGTGCGTGTGAGAAGTGTCATGTGTGTCCGTAGTGACATGCGTGTGAGTAGTGTCGTGTGTGTCCGGTGTCCGTAGTATCATGTGTGTCATTGAGTGAGAAATATCATGTGTTAGTGAGTGAGTAGTGTCCTGTGTGTCAGCGAGTGAGAAATGTCCTCTGTCAGTGAGTAGTGTATTGTGTGACCGTAGTTTTGTGCGTGTGAGAAGTGACCTGTGTATTAGTGAGTGATTAGTGTCCTGTGTGTCAGTGTGTGAGTAGTGTCTTGTGTGTCCGTAATGTCTTGAGTGTGAGTCCTGTGTGACCGTAGTGTCGTGATTATGTTGTGATTCTGTGTTACATTAGTTTCCTGTGTGGTCGTAGTATCGTGCGCGTGTGTGGTGTTCTGTGTGTCACTGCAGTGATTGAGTTGTGCCCTGTGTGTCCGTGTGTGAGTAGTACTTTTTTGTGTCAGGTCAGTTTTTTAGTAGTGTCCTGTGTATCAGTGTGTGAGTAGTGTCCTGTGCGTCGAGTCAGTGTTTGAGTTGTGCCCTGTGTGACAGTGTGTGAATTGTGTCCTGTGTGTGAGTAGTGTCCTGTACGTCAGGTCAGTGTTTGAGTTATGCCCTGTGTGTCAGTGTGTGATTAGTGTCCTGTGTGTCAGATCAGAGTTTGAGTTGTGCCCTATGTGAGTAGTGTCCTGTGTGTCATGTCAGTGTGTGAGTAGTTTTTGTTAATTATTTTTAATTTTTTAGTATTTAGTATTTTTAGTGGAGAAACGGGGGATCGAATTCGCATCCCCTAGACTTGTAGTCAGACAGTGTTACCACTGCACCACAGCGCCCGCTCTGATTCATAACTATTTTGGAATTCCCACAGTTAGTACACTTGAAATTGAGTTAATGCAATTGAATTTTCACACCTAAATAGTAAATAACCCTGTTAGGTCTAAAGTGTTTTACAAGGCAGACATTCTTGTCCTTGCTCGAGGGGTTATGATAAGGGACTTCTCACAAACGAGTAGTAAGAGGAAAAAAGTAACATTATTAACAGGCAATAAAAAAATTATATCAGAAAAAGCCATGTTCAGTTAAATATAATCACAGTTATTTTATGGACAATAAGTAAGCTGATATCAATACTTGTTGTTTATGATAAATGATGGATTTAATCTAGTTTCAATAGTTAAAAATATTTCTGTTGGCGGAAATTAGGTGAAAAAGTATGTTAAAGCAGCCAACCTCCAGACCCATGCTAATTATTAATGCAATGTGAATTAAAGGTGAAATATTTTCAAGTGAACAAAGAAAGTAATTAGAATATTGCAAACAACACTTAACATAATAATCTTTTAGGATAGGCCTTCTAGTTAACGAGGCAGACACTGACCTTTACTCATAAATGACTTATCTTGAAGGTCTTTTTTTCTTCTTATTTGCTGTAACTTGCTATAACTTTGTTATTAATGAATGGATTGACTTCATATTAAGACAAAACATTCTTTAGGATAAGACCTAAAATGTTTATCAAACTCAAATTGAACCTGGCTCATTAATGACCTTAACCTTAATTTATGAACTGATTCCATTTATACCTGAACAAAATAACACTTGTGATCAAACGAACATGTTGAATAATTTAGGTTTGATTTCCACCTCTAAATGTCCTTGACCGTCAAATGATTGAATTCTGCTTATATTTTTAACTCCGTCATTTATTTATTATTTATTTATGGAAATGATTCAAAATTAAACAGGAATTCGCTTGAAAAATTATAGAGTGAAATAAGATAAACAAACAAAGTTTTATCAACGTTTCCAAAATTAAACCACCACATTATAATAATAATTACATTTTTTCTTGAAAAGTAGTCCGGCAAAGAGGTGCCCATTCATGCATACCACGTGATCAAGTGCCGTAGATCAGTAAAAATAAACGTCACCTTGTTATCGGGCCGAAATTGATACAAGTGACAGGATAAATATTTATCCTGTCACTTGTATCAATTTCGGCCCGATAACAAGGTGCCGTATATTTTTACTGATCTACGGCACTTGATCACGTGGTATGCATGTTTTCCAGACTACTTTTCAAGAAAAAATATAAAAACTGTCGTTAAATCTTCTGTGTGTAGAATAACGAATTTTGGAAACGTTGATAAAACTTTGTTTGTTTATTTTATTTCACTCTATAATT